GTGCATTTTTGTGTACGTTTGTGCCTTTGTATCCGTGTACATATTGGTGCACTGAGCACAGGGTGTCGTCTTCCCCTGCATATCCTTCGCGGTGCACAACGTGCGACATCAAAAAAGCCTTGCCTCGCATGTCATCAGAGGGACCGTTGTACCTACACCACACTCTACACCTACTGACAGAGAAGCGGGAGCCTAAATCGACCAACTTATTTAGACCTCCAAACCCCTGGAGGCGACGATGACTCGAAACCCAAGACAAGCTAGCTCGGGTTACAACTGCCATTGATCCTCACTTCATCTACTGTTAAGTGCTCAAATGTTTGTTTCTGTCCATCAGACTATTCGTACAGTTGTACAGATGTGTACCCTGTCAAATGCTTACATGTCCATTTATATCAACGAGTCTATTTGTGCAGACGTGTACCATTTGCAGGATGTTATCGAACCACCCCCCTCACATACGCCTTGCCATGATTTTTTTTCTTTGTATACAACTCGTGTATATGTGGAACACTAGCAGCAACAGCCACATTAACATCCCACAAGTATACATGCACCAAACTGCTAGTAACACACCAAACTGCTTGTAACATCAGAACGATGGGTACCACCATAGCAACACGTATACATGCACACCAAATTGGCGTATGGCTTAATAGTAGTGAATTGTAGAAGGTTGATGCAAAGCGTTCCACCAATTTACACAGAATTTCATCATGGATTGGTACCTTACGAGACGAAAACACACAAAAATACTTCTGCCAAAAAGAATGGAAAAGGCAGTTCCAGTGTTCAGTCTTTTCCTCCATCTCTGTGCATACTGTATCCCTGTCTTCTCTGTCTCTGTCCATACTGTATCCCTCTGTGTGTGTGTGTGTGTGTGTGTGTGTGTGCATACTCTCTCTCTCTCTCTCTTTGTGTGTGTGTGTGTGGATACTATATCCCCGCCTCTCCACACACACACATACCCCCGCCTCCCCACCTGGGCGTTCTATTCTTGTGAGACGGTCGTACGGCAGATTGCCACACATACATAGGTTCGCAGGGACTGTAGCTCGCCCTCGCTCTCCCCCTCGGCGCTCCTTACCTCCATTGCTCTCTCTCTCTCTCTCTCTCTCTCTCTCTCTCTCTCTCTGTGCATGCCCCAAACACTGTCTTTGTCTCTTCATGCATTTGCGATTCCGAAGCACCAATGCAGGGGCCATGCCAATCTTTCCCCATATCGTTCCAATTTCAACAGACGTCCAAAAGAAGACGTTCATATTATTTGCCTGCATGTTCTCACAGGGTACTAAATGTGAATCGCCTGCATTACTTGTCCGCATGCCGGTCCAAGTTTGCATGTGCCTTTTCCTGTCGATCTGAAACTGAACCTCTGCCTATCGAACTGAAACCTGTCAACCTCGACCTCTTTTTTTTTCTTCTTTGTTTTTGTTTGCCAACCTCCATTTATCTATGTGCAGTTATTGCTGGGTTACATCTCAGTCAAGGGCAAGATCACAATAAATAGAGGTCCATCCCCACAACCAAGTTTCGAGACTTAACAGCAGCACAAACATACATAATATTACATATGCATGCAAGCACATCATTACCAGTCCCTCAGGTAGAGTTCCGTTTGTACACCCTCGTAAGCACAGCACAGTTCATGAGGCAAAATTGTAGTATTTTAATGTATTTTCACTATTTTACTGATACCAGCTTCTTCCACTGGAAGCTGATGTAAGTTGACATTAGTAAATCATTCCACCGCTGGTCTGTATTTCAAAAGTCGTGAGTACCAAACTGAGATTACGCCAGTTGGTTTCATTGGGCATTTAATCCTGAGCCGCCACCACCAGTACTTAGCCCAGCTATCGGCCGCAGAAAAACATACGAGTAGAAACGTTTCTAGTTGGGTGAATTTGGGCGCTCCCGTAGTGGCCCGTACGTTTCCTAATCGCATCGCGTTAACGAGTAAATTGCATAGCGTCAACGGGCAAATCGCATAGCGTTAACGGGCACGACTTTAGGAAGTACTGGTGGTTTAACGACTTTGTCAACACACAACTTCAAACATTCAGCATACTCGCTCCAGTCCAAACACAAAAGGCATAACTCTGTGCGCTCCCAGCTGGTCACCAGATCGAACTAACCCATCCTCGTCTACCAGACAAGGACGCCAAGATATCTGCCACGAGATCCAGAGACGTCATAAATTAGACCCAGAATTTGCTCGCAAGACCACACACCATGACACGTCTTGCTTCAGGCAGTAGCAGTTCCAATGTCGCAGGACGTGTGGTGCCACCCTGTCGGAACACGACCGGACTAGCAATCATTTTTTTTACTGTTATGTGGATTGCTGTGACGACGCTCAACAGTAGTTCATATATGCTCTCTCGAGCCGTCTGGCCTGCAATGATCATTTGGTAGAGTCTTCATATGCACAACTCTCAAGCGGCTGCTGGGCGCTAATGAACCCTGCTGCTCCCTGCACCCGGTGACGGATTCGCAATTCCACGCGTCAAAGAGGTATATTCACACCGTGAACTGCCAACCCACCCACGCTTTCAAGTAGATTTCCTGAAGCTACCAAATTCGTCCAACTCCATTTTAGGAATCACAAACGGTGTATTGAAATTTGAAATACAGTTGCACTCGATTCTGTGGGCAATATTGGAATTTCGATTCAAGTGTGAGGCTGAGACACTGTCCTGCCCGTATAACATACTGGATTGCACAAAAGTACTGAGCCACAGAGGAGCCGCAAAACTCATGACGGAAACACGGTATGAGCAGCAGTTCGAGGACATCCTGACCGCTTCATCAATTTTGTTATTTTGGGGCCCGATGGACCACGCATCAGATATTGGGCTGCTCAGAACAGATACTACACTTGATAGCCAAAGGACCGAGAAGGTCATTTTTGCGAAACTACACTGCATTCAATCGTGGATTGCGGAGTTAGCGCGCATCACCACACCACTCGCAAGATGCCAGCACTCCGAGCGTAAAGGAGACACGCAGACACTGAAGACGGGACATCGGGCAATGCAACCCAAAGAATGAACAGAGCAGATCCAGCAAGCAAAAAGGTTTGACGATGAACAAAAAACTACAGCCAGATGCAAACGGAGAGAGCAACGGATACGTCCTACACAAAGAATTGCCAATATCTCCTAAAAGTAAGCAATGAAAAACGTGAGACACACAGACCCTCCAGAAGATTGGGCGATAGAAAAAATAGGAGATAGGAGCCACCTCAGATACTCTAGCTCTGGCCCTAATGATCCATCTGCAGCAAAATCTTATCTTCCAAGCAAAATCTTATCTTCCAAGCATAGGATTTGATAAAAAAAGAACTGAGACAAATAAAATGCGCAATTGCGATTTGATCAAAAAAAAACTGAGATAAATAAAATGCGCGTATCAAAATTAAAACTTGTCGACAAATCTTGGAAAATGTTTGGCAAATAAACAGAGCCAGAGGGGGAATACCCCACACGCAGCTCGCAACAAAAGTACATTACTGGTGGATTACCGACGCAGCGTGAGATTTCAACAGGACTGCAGGCACTGGGCCGCAAATGTAGGGGCCTCGCTGCACTACTCTCGAAATGTGAAAAACGAGAGTGAATCTGCCGCTAGAGCATGGAAAGATTCGCCACCATGATTTGTCTTTTGTGAATTTCGAGAGTAGTGCAGCGAGGCCATACTACTGGTATTCCTGACACACAAGCACAACATTCCAAGAGGACTGCACTGACCAGAGATTTACGAATCTTTGGGGGTGGGGGTAACGTTCCCCGCGGGGGGGGGGGGGGGTAACTTGTGCGTGTAAACTTCCACCTCAGACAGCTTATAGCCGTTTGGTTGAGACTGCAACCCCATGCGGGAGGTCACGCGTTCAATTCTTGAGAGCTGACCACCGATGCAGCGGAACCGAAGAGCAACGAGCAGCGAGGAGACACGTTGATTGGTGGCTGCATCAAGGGGGTCGGATCGTGTGCGAGAGCGCTGAGTGCATCGAGTTCACACACCCGTAGGGTCGCGTGCGATTGTGACAGGGTCAGGTCAGGTGTGAGTATGACTGAGCAGACCGGTACGCAGACAAAGCTGTGCTGAGGTGGGATTAGGTGACTCGTCCTGGGGCTTCGCTTTCACCACAGTGGTGCTCAGCCGTTTGGTTGAGCTTTCAAAGTGACCGGGTAGAAATCTGTGCTGAGGTGGGATTCGGTACACTCATCTGGGGGCTGAACTCTTTCTTTCACCGCAGTGCGCTCACAAGTTTGGTCGGATATTGTCTTTTTTTATAGATCGGATCATGAATGCAATGCACAACTATTAACAACAGAATTTGGATCACAAAGAATTTTGCTATGTGGAGTGCTTTCTCTTCCCCTTTTGCAGTGCACGTACCTCTAGTTTGCATGGGCAACATATATAACACAGCGAAAGGAGAGGACAGATTGGCGTTTCTCCAAACCAGTGTACAGAGAGGAAAGATTGGCGTTTCTCAATCTGTGTAGAGACACGGGTTATGGTGTGTTCCTTTGTACGTATTGCAGACGACACAAAACCCTTTGCTTTTCACACGGCCAACTCGTTTATCCCAAGGCCCAAAAAACGTTCCTCGTTTTTTTTCTTCCCTGTGAACACAGGCAACTCTATATACACTGCACAAAATATTTCTACCCACTCTCCCATGTACCCACACGTAATTGACAGCTTTCCACCGACGGGGAGTGGGGGGAAGCTGACAGCTTTTCTCTACGTATGGATAGAACAGATACGACGCAAAGCAGGACAAAAGCAGTATGCAAACTAATAAGACCAAGACCAGGACTAAGGGGAAGAGGGGAGGGGGGGGGGGGGACACTGACAGCTTTTCTCTACGCATGGATAGAACAGATACGACGCAAGGCAGGACAAAAGCAGTATGCAAAATAATAAGACCAAGACCAAGACCAGGACTGTGTCATCTCGACGCCCCCCCTCCAGAGCCCACCCATGTAAACACGTTAGTATGATAATCCAAAAACGTTCGTTGTCGAACATTTAAATCATTCTGAAACAATTCTGAAACAATGGAGAAAGGATACTCGATGGTGACCGGAAGAGTCCAGTCAAGTCTCTCACCCAAAAGAATTTTCACTCAGGTAACCACCACACAAAAACTGTCCAAATCCATAATTCCTCGTCCCCTGCTACATTCCGGAAGCCAGTTCAGCTTAGAGGTAAGAGAAAGCAACACAAGAAGCAGGCACAAACGCACAAAGGCCCGCCCAATCCTTACACGGATCGAGCATACAGCGCACCTGACCGCAATTACGGCGAGATGACCCACGCCCATTGTCTACAATTGTCGTTGCATCAAAACCACGACTCATCCTAAGTACCATTGTGCGGGCATCCTACTCACACTAACAGTTCCCGGAATGCATCTGACCGTAATTACGGCGAGCGCAGGATGAATCTGATCGCAATGACGTCCAGAGCTTCGTAGAAAAAGCCCTCTTGTGAGTGAGCCCTGATCTTACAACTACTTGTGCTTTCCTCCTCCAGCAGCAAGCAAGGCCTTCCGTTCTGTAAACTCATCTAGAGGTTGCGCACGTACATTCTCACGATTGCACCCAAAAGAAGATCCCCCCGCCTACTCTTTCTATACCCTCACCTAATTTTCTCTCTATCTCAGACACCCCCCCTCCCCCCCAAAACCCCAACCGAGTCTACCCAAACCCCCTCGGATCGGAAGCATGGATAGACAGTATAAAATGCCAGTAAGCCAAAACACCAACAAGCATTAATCACGCCCTCGCCACGGACTTGCGCGCGCGCACAAGAAGGTAGAGCTGAATGAAGCCGCCAGATAATAACCCCCAAATATGGCAAACGTTGCCTGCGCAATTCAAACCTATGCATAATTGAGTCGGAAGATGTCATTAAACACGTAGAACGACGTAGGGCCCTTCAATAGATGGAACATCTGCACAACACAAAAAGCAGGAGGAAACATTAGCTACTCAACTTCCTACAACTTACAGCAAACAACAGATTCAGCCTAATTTAGGTACACAATTTATTTACTTTCTTAACAAAAAAATTTGGACAAGTACAGGACAACCGAATAAGAAAATCCCAGAGGATCAGACACCCTCCAAAATTCAGAATACATCTGGACTATCAGCCGGGCCGCCCGGGTGACCCTGTTTCCCCGGGCGGCCCGCCGTGCAAGGACCCGCGAGGGTCCCAGCAAAAGATTGATCCGAAAAATACGATGTTATGCAGAAAATTAAACTGAACAACTTTTACCTCAGGATAACATCCAAATTTACACTAATCAAAACTATCCAAATTTAAACTAGTCAAAAAAATCAACAACCAAACGTCAGAATCATATGAGAAACTCCGTCCATAAATGTGACATCGTGACTTGTATTTCCCTATGCTTTCCGAACAGGTCCGCACCAACACACATTCCCCGCGCCAGCGCGACACCAAAGCCAGAGCTCGATGATAAGAGACGTTTTCCCCTGCTCTCAGGAGCCGCCGCCGCCACATCTCACATCTCACATCTCAACAGATCACAACTGCACATATAGGGATGACGAATCACCCATGATAGAAGACAGACGGAGGGACAATGGAAGAAGCTAGTCCACAGCATGAACTTCATGTCAATACGAATCGACTCTCATATTGACTCAAGGTGTCAACTATGACTTTCGTACCGACCAACAAACACCGCGACGCGAAAGAATGATTCAAAGAAAGACATACTGACCCCCGTGCAACGACGACGCAGATCGAGAGATGTGTCCGACTCTATAAATCCAGAAACGTTTAAAAAAAGAAAAAGGGACCACAAAAAAGAAAAGGAAAGACACGAAGTCAAAAGTTTAATTAAGACGATCGGAAAAAAAATGACAGTTGTTGCGACAAACATGGCCAGCTTTACGAGACACAAGCACTGTCACTCTCATCTTCCAGTCGCATTGTTTCCATGATATCCTCCTAAATGCAAATGCCCTTCACGAAGCGAAACGGACGTAGACGCGATTCCCCCGCTGTGGCTTTTACATCAATCCCACGACGTTCACAACGTTGGTACGAAAATAACACTGAAACGCCCGGTCATCACAGCCGTATTTGTGGCCATTTTCTGTCCAGATGCAGCAATAATGACAGGGCGTTCTATTCAGGTGACCTTCGACACACAGGAAAGAACTGACACCGCATTAAAGAGGACAAACAGGACACGGAAGCCATATCTCGGAATAACTGAATGACGGAAATCACAAACGTCCAAGACAACCCAAACATCGGACCTAAATTATGGCAAACGGACACGACAACTAATCGCAGATTCATTGTCATTTGGCACATTTGGCGAGTAGCGGAGCGAGGCCCATGGTAAAGCAACAGGAAAAGTGCGTCCTTAATCATTTCCGTCGAAACGACTTGGATGGAATCACCAAGTCCAACGGCATGCGGATCACGGTATCTGATTACGAAGGATTACACAGAGCGTACTATTTGAGTAAAATACAGACCCAAGTTAGCGGAGCGAGGCCCATGGTAAAGCAACCGGAAAAGTGTGCCCTTAATCATTTCTGTCAAAACGACTTGTCCTTAATCATTTGTCACAAAGCCATGAAATCAGCATTTCTAACGACATTCGGCTCAGGGTACCTGGTTACAGAGGATCACATAAAGTGTACTATTTGAGTAAAATACAGACCCGAGTTCGAACTCCACTCCGATCATCACTGCTATCCAGATCAGCTACCGCCGAGCGATAAGAACAGAACCAAAACCAACTGGCCTATACCTCAGTTGGTACTTCACTGGAAGCACATGAGAACCAAAAACCAACTGGCCTATAGCTCAGCCTGTACCAACTGGCCATCGCGATCAGCTACCACCGAGCGATAAGAACACAACCAAATCCAACGAGCCTCTTAGCTGTTGAAATAAAGACCCGAGTTCGAACTTCACTGGAAGTCGTGAAATACTACGATTTCCAAAATTTACCTAGGGCCGGTCAGTTCGATGACAATATCTCCAGGCCGTCACCCTTCATTTTTTAAAGAGAAAAGGGGAGCATAAGAAACGGGAAAGGGGGGGGAGGACGGGGGGGGAACGTCGTCATGGCAGAGTACGCAGAGGTTACCATGCGATTGAATATTGACGATACCCATCTAATAATGGGACGACAGCCGACAAAGATGCAGTAAAAGGACAAAGCATCCTACATCTACCCTTTCCCCGAATACACCGACTTAATTGATCCAGGGCCACAATCGGAACAAACGGTAAGCAGGGTGAAGAACATTGCTGACCTGCCTACCAATCAATGCCATGGCACACTAACCTATATACCAATCTAATGTATGGCACACTGACCTGCCTATCTACCAATCAAATCCATGGCCCACTGCCCTACCTACCAATCAAAGCCATGCCACATTGACCTACCTACCCATCAAAGCCATGGCACACTGAACTACCTATCAATCAAAGCCATGTCACACTGACCTACCTACCAATCAAAATCGTGCCACACTGACCTACCTACCCATCAAACCCATGTCACACAAACAGAACGAGAACTCAGAATGATTCAAGAAAAAATCAGGACACGTGGCAAAAGCTTCCCACGCAAAGACAACGACACATCCCGGCGGATCATGGACACGTGAACGAACATTAGCACAAAAAATCAGCAGAACACTAAGACACACGTAGTGCAGAAACGAACATTAACATTAGCACAAATCAGCTGAAATACTCGACAACATACACGTAGCAGAACCCAAGTGTTTGCATACAACCTATCTTGCAATAAATAGGACAACGGAAAAAAAACACTTCTACAGGTTGCCATTCACAAGTCCGCGTTATCCCGAAGAACATGGATGGACGATCTTCGTTTCAGCACATGCTTCCATACACGTACGAATACACATGGAAATCTTCAGAACAATAAAAACACTGACCATAGACTTCTCGTACAAGGATCGTAACAGACTTGCATTACATCTTCGCATGCATGTACAATTCTCAGCATGGAAGTTCACGAAAAATACACCTTTCCCCGATTCAAGAATCGCGATCCAACAAACCAAATTCGTAAAAAACCGAATTCATAAAAACACTCGAGAGCACGGATGGGAGACTGGAAAAATTATAGCGGGTACAGACATGAGAGCACGAAGACAAGGCAGTGGTAATACACGACAGGAACTGAAACACACGAGGACAGAAAACAGCTTGAGGAGGGGAAACGGCAAAAAAACACAAGGCCATTCGAAGACGCATATAACAGAGTTTAAGCAGAACGAGGCAACATTAAGAGCAGGCAAGAGTACCCCACCAAATGGAGGATGGCCAAATGACAAATGAAAAGCGAGATAATACGATACATAAACCGGATTCTGGCCCGACGGACAGACGAAGATGGACGACGGAGGGAACAAAATGGCCGCACACCTAGGAACGAGTGACCGAAAGCAGGAGGAGATACGTCGACTGGGCAGAGACGATGGACAAGACGACGGAGACCGAAGACGACGATTCAAAACGAGCACGAGAAGTGAGCTGATGGCGGAGAAGCAAGAGCGTGTGTGGGAACAGACGATTGGGACCACAATGGAGGAGCAGGGATGAGCGACAAACAGACAACACGGCGAAGAGAGACAGCAGACAAGAGGAACGGGAACCAGAGACGGCGCCTGACAACCCGCCCGAGAGGTCGATTGATGGGAAAGAAAGAAAAGCTCGTGGAGAGACAGGAGATTGGAACGACGATGGAGGTGCAGGGATGAGTGAAGAACACAATAGGGAGAGGGAGAGCGACATAGACCGAATAGGCCTGAAGACTGTAGGTAGGTGGGCAGCACGGAACGGAAAGGGACACGGAACACGAATAAAAACGCGCACGCCAAAACAGCGATGACCAGAAAACTGGATTAAGAGAAACGACGAGGGAAGAAGAAGACGCTGCAGTGAAGAGAAAGAACAGATAAGACAAAGGCACGGAGCGAGAGACGGAAAAACAGGAGTGATGACTAACAGTCTCCAGTACGGATCCACTGGGAGGGGAAAACGAGAAGACGAGACTGCATGTAGCAAGACAACGAGGGTCGTGGACAGCAAAAGGTAGAGGAGAAAATGGAGGAAGAGGCCTGCGGGAGGAGAGGGATAGGGAGAAAAGACGAAGAGGAGAAACAGTATGAATAAAGGGGAGGAAAGAGAACAAAAATGGGGAGGGAGGACCGACAAGATGAGAACAACGGGAAGGACGGAGAAATAGAATTTCCAGCGAAAATATTAAAAAAGAAAAGGGGAACGGAGGAAGCAGGGAACGAGGGAGCATGAAAGAATGGGACGCTAAGTTGAAGTGAGCGGCAGATGAGAGAGAGAAAGAGGGAGAGGAGAGATACGAGAGGGGGTGGGAAGAATTGAGAGAGCAACAGGAATAGAGAAGTGCACAACGAGGAACAAAAATACCCATGCATGAATGAGAGAAGGCAGAGAAGAAGGGATTCAATCAAAGGAGATTAGAGAGAGAAATAAGGTATACAGGAAATGAAAGACGGAGCAGGGTCCTAGGAGAAGAACGGAGGTCGATAAGGAGGCTGACAACATTGAAAGAGGGGAAGAAGGGGGGGGAAAGGAAAAGAGGAGAAGAGGAGAACATCAGACGAACAAGGACGAGGGAGAGGGGAGAATGAGTTAGGCGAACGAGGGGAAGAGAAAGGGGTAAGACATGGAATAGAAAGGTACCGACCGAAAGACAAACACCGACAAGTGAAAACGAAAAGAACAAATATACGGGGTACAAGAGAGAATGGGCCCGATCGTCGTAGAGACAGGAAACGAAAGGTGAAAACAGAGAAGACAACATAGAGGAGGTACAAGAGACAATAGGGCCGATGGGAGGAGAAAACAGAGAAGACAACACGAAGGAGGTACAAGAGATAATAGGGCCGATGGGAGGAGAAAACAGAGAAAACAACATAAAGAAGGTACAAGAGACAATAGGGCCGATGGGAGGAGAGACGGATGACAAGACCGTGGAGATGCAGGGAGAGGCAGCAGGGAAGGGGAGAGGAAACGGGAACAAAGATGAGGAGAGGAGTGAGAGAGGCAGCGAAAAGGGGGAACAAGAGTGAAGAACAGCGGAGAATTGCATACCTGACTAAACTTGAGAACGTGCTGCTCTCCTTCGACCTGCAAGGTGCCGCTGACGAAGACGATCATCCCGTCTGGCATTCCCGATGGCTGGCAATCAACAGTCGATATTACATGCCGGCACTGCTGGAAAGGCAGACCCGTGAGCTTCTCATGAATGGCCTGCGCTCCCCTGAACTGATTGCCTTCAAAAGTCAGCATGGAATGGTCTTGATACAGATTGGCGAGTAAGGCTCGATTGGCGTCGAAAGTTTTGTAGTAATGGTCAACGAAGGCTTTGGCAAGTTCTTCTCCAGTCATGGGTGCTGCCATGGTTATCAACTACCGGTAGGTAGGTAGGTAGATAGGGTTCGTTCCTCACCGCCTGCTTCCGCTGATTACAGCCGCCCGCTTCCGTGGAATTCGGTCGCTTGCGGCGGCCAAGGCTCGGGCAGTGACGACGAGACGATTGGGTATATCACCCGACCCTCCGAACGCGATTTGGGATCGCTTGGAAACAAATTCTTCGAGTCAAAACATCGTCGTCGAATCCCCCGCCGCCGCACACCGCCGACCACAAACACAAAAAACTTGCCCGCCACTGACCGCACAAGAGCGCGCCTCCCACGTATCTGTCTCAGGCGATGGCGCCTCTCTCCGGGCGCAGAATATATGACCCGAAGGGCTCGTGACGGGCACCACGCTCAGACCCCCCGGATCGAGCCAACGAGACTTGCCGAAAGAACGCTGCGGGGGTTGTTCACACTGTTGGGTGTTCACACTAGCCTCCCCAATTCGTAGGATGGGGTGTTCACACTGTTGGGTGTGTGTTCACACTGTTGGGTGTTCACACTAACCTCTCCAATTCGTAGGGTTCGAGGGGGAGGGTGAAAACGACAGTGGGTCCCTGCCCAATCGTACTGTGAGCCGCGCAAGCGCGCGGGAGCGCAGCCCGTCGGGAGCGAGGACCAGGCGAGGGCACAGGTGCCCGAAATTACGAGGGGCGTGACGATCAGACTCTTTTTTTTCCCGCGGCTTACCGCGTGGCCCCGCGTGACCTCCGAGGAGCAGACAAGTTCTGTTTTTTTTTCCTTTTTTTTTCTCAGCCTATTGGCAGACAGAAAAATACATGCCTTTTGGCCTCGTTCCACTGCCCTCGACTTGAAAAAAACTCAAGGGCAGCCCTACGCTCGTTCCACTGCGCTATACCTGACTGTTGCATGTTGGCTTTCCCGGGGCAAGGTCCCACTTGCACGGATTACGAGAATCTGGCCGTTGATCTTTGCTATCTACAGTCAATATCGCTTAATTCCTGTAAGTTCGCAGCCAGGAGGCTGCACTATACGGGTTGCATTTTGTTGCCTAGCGAGGACGTCTTTTTCAGGAAATGTTGACGACGGCGAAAGGGGTTTATAAGGCGGTAACATGGGTAATTGAAGGGTGCGGTCGCTGTCGGGGCAGAGACCGGTAGGCCGGGTGGTCGCGAGTGCGGTTGGAGGGGGGCAGTCCAGCGGTCACGAAAAGAGGTCAGCGGGCCGTTTTCATGGACGGCGGCCGGTTTTCCATTTCGGGCGATATCGCGCGAGGGACCCGGTGCGATTTTCGGATTCGGAAGGCTGGGCCGAAGTGGGTTTGGAGGTGTGCACAGCAGAATGTTGGCGGCAGTCGGGGTGTTCGTATTCGTATTCGAATCGAATTCACGCGTCATGCTGTGCTGTCGTAGTAACGGATGCATCTTTCCCTTCTGTGCAGGAAGATGCACTCGTTGTTTTTCCCGGGAGGAGTTAGGGCTTCGCCACACCTTTGTCGAAAAGGAAAAAGAATGAATGCATCTTCAGCAGAAAGTGGTAAGATGCATCCGTTGGTCTCGCTCCCGAGTGGCTGCGCTTCCGCGTTTGCGCGGTACACAGTGGAACCTAGCCCCCGATCGGGTAACATCGACGACCTTTTGAGGGTTTAGATGGGCGTAGAGGGGGCGGGAAAATGGAGTCGAAGGGTGCGGTCCTTGTCATAAGATGGACCGGTCGCTAAGTCGGTCCTGGCAGAGGGAAAAAACGGAGGTCGTTTTGGACGGCGCCCAGGGGCAACTTCGGGGTGCGAGAGGGAACGGGAAGAAATGGGGGGTGTTTGGGATTTCGGGCATAGTTGTATTGTAGGTGTACTGTATGCATCCGGCCTTAAGGGCGCCCAGTGTATGTCCAAATCTATCTTCTTTTCCATTGTTTTTTTTCCCCTTCAACTCATCAATTTCAAACAATGGACAAGAAGATGGATTTGGACGTACACTGGGCGAAGTTCAGGCCAAATGCATATAGTCCGGGTCTGAAACGGAATTGCTAAAAGAAAATTGTTGTACTGTAGGTGTACTGTATACATCTGGTCTTAAGTCCACCCAGTGTACGTCAAAATCTATCTTCTTTTCCATTATTTTTTTCCCCCTTCAACTCATCAATTTCAAACAATGGACAAGAAGATGGATTTTTACGTACACTGGGCGAAGTTCAGGCCAGATGCATTTAGTCCGGGCCTGAAACAGAATTGATAAGAGAAGATTGTTGAATCGTCCAAATGACCGAGTAAATCGTCTGAATAAACGAACATGACTACAATCTTTTAACCGCCCGCCAAAGCCTAGGACAAACACTTCGCTGCCTTCGCACCTCTGTTTATGTGATATGGTCCTTCCTCCCTTCGGGCTGCGTTGCAGCGTCGTGCGCGGTACATAGTTAAAAAATACTAGAAATCAGCATCGTTCCACTACACCCTACAGTTCCCCCTCGCAAAAGGAGCGGGAAAAATGTGTCGCGCCGTGGTTGGGTCCAGACAATGCAGATTGGAATTAAAAAAAATAAATAAATAAAAATGACAAAGAGACCGAAAGCAACTTGTTGGCGCCGTTTTCAAGGGAATTCGGAAAATTCGAAGTCACGGTTGGGAGGTGACTCGAAAATGGGGCCGGTTTGCCTGGGCGCCCTACAACTGCCCTAGAGTTTCAAAGCGGTAATTTATTGCAGCAAGAATGTTAATCACTTTTAATAATGATTAGCGAATCTCAAGGGCGTAATGGAACGGTGTCGCCCTTGAGATTTTTTCAAGTTGAGGGTAGTGGAACGAGGCCCTTTTTCATACATCGGTCGAGGGCCCTGTGCGCCATGCATCTGGTTCCCACCACCAGCCATTTACGGCCTTTGGCCTTCGTGTTAACCGCCGCTCTATTTTTCTTCTATTGGGGAAAGGTATTGGATGTTTAACATTACGAATTTGTTTAGTAGGTTCAAGCTTCGTTTCATATGTTCGACTAAAAAATGTTGCCACAACTCAAGCGAGCATGGTTTCTCGGCCCCACCTTCAATACCTGACTGCAGCAACGCCTACACAAAAATAACAGTGGTTGCTCTCCCAAGAGTACCACAATCATTGAAACTCCAAGGCAAACCAGGCCTAGCTCCCTACACGACCCTTAACCCTGTCCTATACACCTTGGTCGAGATAGCATAGTCATGCCTAATATCACATAATCGGTAGCTAAACATGTCATTGTTGCAGTGGCTTGAAAGAGAGGGCGGGCGGGAAGGAGGGGAGGGGAGAGAGAGAGAGAGAGAGATGCCCGTGGGGGGGGGAAAGGGGGGGG